ATTTGGATTTGTTTCTTAAAATGATTAGGTCAACGGATCATACTGTAATTGGACGAGTAGCGGTCCTTGGTCGACACATCCTCATGTCACTCAGTAAAATGAAACAAATAGGTCTGAATACATCGTTTTCAGTGACAGTTCTCAGAATGGAATTTGCAATTATGCGCTTAAGGGTAGGGAGTTGGGGGTGGGCGAGCTTCCAACCGTTGTATTCCCATACTGCCTACAGTCCCAAACTGCCTACAGGTTAAAACAACATGATACGGTCCAGTGATCAGGAAGTGAAGTTAATGGGAATACACCGATCTGACCTGTTCTACCCCTGCTAAAATGAACTTGACCAGTTACTTGGTTAATGAACTGACCTGTTCTGTGGTGTCTTCCCTTTGTGCCTACAGAAGTTTAAAAATTAAGTTTAACCTTCCAACCTTGCTGGACCCGGCCGGGGCAAGCGGCCGTTCATTCGTGACCAAGTCGTGTTATTCCGGTACAAGCCGAAGGTTACGGAAAGGGGCAAGTGGTGACGAATGGCGGCCCTAAAGACCCGGCATTTCAAGCTTCTCTCTCTCTTCGTTTGGAAGCTGTGAGTTAAAAGTTGAAAATTGAGAGAAAACGACCGATTCCGAAGATGGAATTCTTGTCTCCTGTCATGAGCGATTATATTGCTGGAATATTGCTAAAAGCTGCGTGAAAACATACTCACTCACTAACTCACCCGTCATAAGCAACAGAGTCCAGCCTGCTGCGTGGGCAAAACGGGTGACCTGGTTATTCAGAAGGTCATGACGTATACACTGAGACTACTACTTAAACGTATGGCACTCCACTCCGTGACCTCCCAGATGCTTGTAACAGTTACATATATTAACCTAAAACTGTGTCGTCCGCACGGCTAATGACCCTTAATTGAACGTATCGGAGTCACATCTACCATGTGTTATAGTGCAGCGGCAATACATTAAAAGACAACGCTCCTGTGATAATTCTCTCCCCGAACTCAGTCATTTGATCATTTCAGGGCGGGGAGTAGCCTTGTGGTTCAGACGTTCGTTCGTTATGCAGATGGCCCTGGTTCGATTCCTCATATGTATACTATGTGTGAAGACCGCCTCCGTGGTGTAGTGGTTAGAGCGTCCGCTCGGAGAGCGGAAGGTCGCGGGTTCGATCCCCGACCGCATCATACCAAGTAATACCGGCAGTAATGGGTACAACAAGGACTGGTTGGCTCGGAGTCAGTATAATGTGTCTGAGTGGGGTATTCATGCTTCACTGCGGCATGGTATCTCAGTGGGCTAGCACTATAAAACCAGCTTAAGTCTGGGCTAGTACAAGCAGCCGCACATACACATACACACGCATGCACGTCGTCATATGAGTGAAATATTCTCAAGCACGACGTTAAACCCAATTTCACCTCACCTCACCTCACTATGTGTGAAACCGATTAATTGTGTGACAGTTGAGAAATACACGCCTAGTATTATTATAGGATACTTATATAGCGCACATATCCATGCAACTAGTGCATGCACAAGGCGCTGGTATTTTTTTTCCTCGCTCATTGGATGTCAATCTCAACGGCACATCGTGTTATCAATCTCAACTCCCTGGGGAGTATACAACTCTTGCTGCCACTAGGCGCACCGAGTTATTGTGGCTTTCTTATCCTTCACAGCTGGGTGGACTGGGACACATAGTCACAGTACTTTGTCCAACTTCACTGCACGTTGCTGTACCCGCAACTAGGTGTTTGCACGTATTCATGTGGCCACCATCTGGTCATATACCAACGGATTCGTGGGTTCTTTTGAGTGCACAGGGTTGTGTACTGTACACTAGGGGTTGTGACAACACTGAAAGAGTCTGAACACAAAGTTGACTCCAAGGGTTTTACACCCGGTCACAGGTAGGCTCGATCCCGTCACCTCAACCTCGCTGGATCAGTAGCCTGGCGCCTTAGCCAGCTCGCCCACCGCGCTCCATAGTACCCATATGCGGAATCGAACCCGGACTTTCATGTCCTAGTAATTATGAACATGGGTATCAATTTCATCCCCACATGGGTACAATGTGTGAAGCCCATTTCTTGTGTCCCCCCGCCATGATATTGCTGGAATATTGCTAAAAACGGCGTAAAACTAAACTCACTCAGTCAGTCAGTATCTATTTCAATAACACTGTCCTTCTTCGTAACCGGGGTCGAACGCAGTAATCACAGAAATTTAATTACATACATTTTATGCATTAAAGCCAGAAAAAGACGTTTAATGAATGTACCGAGGACCGATGTGGCCTAGTGGTTAACGTCTGTACGCCACACCAAACACACGAGTTCTGTTCCCAAACTGGTAACAACTATTAAAGACGGGTGGATTTTGAAGTCCTATAAAGTCATATTTAACCTCCCATTGATAGTGTAGATGCAGAGAAACACGTGAAGATCCGGGTTAGAATTGGTCTTCAGCAACCCATGCTTGTAAGAGGCAACTAACGGGATCGGGTGGTCAGGCTCTCTGACTTAGTTGATACACGTCATCGTACCCCAAATGCGTGGATCGATGTTCACCACTGGATTGTCAGGTCCAGACTCGATTATTTACAGACCGCCGTCATATAGCTGGAATATTGCTGAGTGCGGCGTTAAACAACAAACCAACCAACCAACCAGATGTAGAGAAAGTGGATATACAGTGAAACCCGTTTGACACAAAATTACGATACAAGGCGAGATTCTACTGATCACTTCATATTAGTCCCCAGACAGTTATAGTTTTTAAACACAACAGAGGTGGAAATAACCCATTGCCCGACGTCCGAGTCCAGTGTCTTTTTCTGTTTGGCAAGCAAATTTGTATATCACACTGTACCGGTGTTCAGTCGACTTTCCAATGTTAATTATGTTGTTTATTTTAAAAAATCAACAAGAAAACGGACGGTATAGTGGAAAAATGATCAGGGCAAGTGGTTTTACATGTGCCATTGTACCGGAGTACACTAGCAATTTTAAAGTTATTTCCACCCCTGCACAAATAGATAAACCGCTCAGTAGCACGTTTAATGTCATCGTGACTGTGATAGCATGGTCACTATGTAACATTTTCCCACTACCAACCTGTCTCGCCCGCTCATACATCAGTTGGTACGTGAACGCCAAACCATGATACATAAAGAAACGTTAGCGTATCTATAGAGACCAGTGAAGATCCGGGTTAGAATATTGATCTTCAGTAACCCATGTTTGTTGTAAGAGGCGACTAACGGGTTCGGGTGGTCAGGCTAGCTGGCTATCATCGATTCCCAATTGCGCAGATCGATGCTCATGCTGTTGATCACTGGATTGTCTGGTCCAGACTCGATTAGTTACAGACCGCCGCCATATAGCTGGAATATTGCTGAGTGCGGCGTAAAACTAAACTCACTCACGTATATTCAGATTGAGTGAGTGAGGTTTTAGCAATATTCCAGCAATAACACGGCGGTGGACACGGAAATAGGCACATGATTGTACCCATGCCTCACATGGGTCTTCGGCGTGACGAGCGAACCACTGGGCTACCCCACCGGGATCCGTATATTCAGAGAGTGACAATCATCTACAGCTTAGTTACCTAACATTTGACGGTAACAGTAGTGTCCTTTAACATAGCAAGTCGGTTTACAACATTGATAATTAATATATAAGACTAACAGTATTGTTACCTAATCATGATTACGTAAAATAGAAGCAAAATTCAATAGATACATCGATAAATAGCATTTACCCCTCCCCCCTCTATCTCTCTCTCTCTCTCTCTCTCTCTCTCTCTGTGTGAAAGAGAGAGAGAAAGGGTGGGTGGAGAATTGTCACTTAACATAAAGTTACAACAACAGTGAGTGAGTTTAGTTTTATGCCGCAATATTCCAGCTATATGGTGGCGGGCTGTAAATAATCGAGTCTGCACCAGACAATCCAGTGATCAACATCATGAGCATCGGCCTACCCAGATGGGATACGATGACATACCCGTCAATTGAATATAAAATTTCAAAATTCTTAACTTTGTTCAAATTATATCCAAAGTATATCCAAATCCTAATTCGGCTTTATTTGAGCCGGAAAATATTTTTTTTAACAAATTGACCGGTATGTTAGTCTTCCCTGTCAGTGAGTCTTGTCCGTCTGTAGTAGATGGTTGTCTGGAAATTGCTTCTGTTCCTTGATGGCCGGTGCTGGCGCATGTAGCGTTCACATGTTTATAAACATCTCAGGGAATACAATGTAAACGGCGTGGAGACCGATCATGATGGCAAGATTGTTCGAGTGATGACAACAAGAGTCGAGTCTTCTTCGAGCTCAAGTCGACGCGCACGCTCGCCGACTCCAGAGGAGAGGGAACGCCTAGAGGAGCCTCAAGGCTTGCCTGATCCTAAACCTGTTGAGGATAGAGTTGAGGAGGCCAATGCTGCCCGAAACAAGAGTCAGCCGGGAGAAGATGGTGGTGACAAATCTCCCGGCGACAACAAATAAATTGGGTGTTAGGGTGGTAGGTGGACGCCACATGGCCGAAGTCACGTGGTCACCTGCATGCAAAGTATTGCGTCCTAAAATGTTGTGGCTTTTTATTTTAGCTTCAGTCCCGCACCGATGAGTTCTGCTGACAATGTTGTGACTTGTGGCATATTGGTGTCTTCACTGATTGGTTCTCTACTCTTTGCTCAATATTTATTTTGTTTTCATGCACTCTCTCTCATGAAGGCCATCATCCTATATGAGCTCATCCTCATGGAAAACCAGAGTATCATCTAGTTCTATGTCGAGCCAGTCAGCAGGCCAATCAGGGAAGGAGGAAGAGGTTAAAACCAAAATGGAGGAAGAGAAATCTGGTAGTGAGCAGACCGTGTCGTCGTAAAACCAAACCACGAGTCGTGTCCCAGTGTGACGCTGTGCCCACAGTACTAACAAACATTCCTCTTCTAATACTGACATATCGTTGACATTTGACCATTGACCTTTGTCTCACAGAGTCGGTTTACGGCAAGTCGTCGAGCAAGTAATGAACGTTCAAAGTGATAGTTCTTCCCGACTCGTAGACTATATCAACGCTGCCCAGTCTGGACATTTTGAAGTTGGGGGTGCGTATTAGAGAACCGCTGGAGGAAGATTAACATGGGCTTATGCGCAACTAACAAACGGAAACGTCCTTTACGCATGTCTAATCTAAGGATTGTGGGATAGATAACTGTGCATGGGCATTTCTTGATATCTTGCTTCCAATTTATCCACCAAGTAGACGTTCCTAGAGACTTTGCTTTTGCTTCTAATGACGCCAGCATTTTTTTCTAATGTGCCAATTTTTCCCTGTCAGTTTCATGATCTCAGAAGCCCTAGCGGAGTGTGTACCTCTTGCCACCTTCTCGCTTAATGAAAGACGTTAGTAGTATTTATCGTGGTGTATGATAGCTGATTATATGTTATAGCTAGTCGATGTGTTTATTGTTATATGCTTCAAGTTGTGATAAGCTCTATTGAGCTCATATGCATAACTCATCTGTGATGTACCATTATTCTTATAATACTCAAGGAAAATCTTTACATTTTTGCATCACTATACCCTCCTCATCACCCATTTTTGGATTTTGTTTATTTTACATCGCCTTTTAGGCACATTACGATTAAGAATATCACATTATTCCTCGGACATGTGTCGCACGTATGGTTAGTGATTATTGAATACCAATGGCATAATTTTCTCATACACTGCCATTCGATCGCTGTATCATCTTTTTTCTCTTTCCGGGGCGGTGGGGTAGCCTAATGGTTAAAGCGTTGGCTCGTTACGCTGTCGACCCGGGTTCGAATCCCCACATGCGGAACAATGTGTGAAGTCCATTTCTGGTGTCCCACGCCGTGATATTGCTGGAATATTGCTAAAAGCGGCGTAAAACCATACTCACTCACTCTTCTCTTTCCCTTAGATTTAGTAGATCCGGTGATAACATCATTAAAAATACAACTTCGCCTGTAACGTCTGAGTTAACTCCCTTGTTGTCGATGTGGTTTCCATGGCAATAACCCCGTAGATTGCTGCGATCTAGGGGAGCTCTCTGTAAGAAGGGATTTAAATAAACTAACACATCTAACATGTTGTTATTTCACAGAGGGATGACGATGAGACGCTCTTAGAAACACCGTTTCTGACAGCGATTTATCGATACGATGAACGAACATGGACGCCATACAAACAAATGACGTCTCGATTATACTACTCAAAAGAAGATAAGGAACCCGATTTGTTTCCTATGATTCTAGTTAATCTGTCATTCCATGTAAAACACCGGGTGTCCGTTATTCTGTGATAGCATGACAGGTTAACTTTAGTCAAATGGAAAAAAGGTGTTAACTTCTTTAATAGTATATACGCTATGGCTGCTGTAGTGACATCTCGTCAACTCGAATTCTCGATATCTCGAACTATTATTCATAATTGTTTTGTCAATTAATTATTCTGTAACCTACAACATAAAGGCTATGTCTTAAAGTAAACAAGTATGAAGAATATATTAAATGAATTGTAATCATATATGATAACATAAAGCAATTAAGTTATGTTTGATTTTAAGTGTATTTTTGTTGCATGTGCATTAATGATAAAAAGGTTATATTATAAGATGATTTGTTTTCTATTGGAATTTGTTTGGTGAACATTGACCATCTCACTACATTGTAGACGTTTTCGTTACCAGGAGATGCATCCCAAGTGTCGATGAAGATGATGCGAGGTGAAGTGTCGGCCAAGACGACGTATCAGCGCACCTCCACTGGACCCGTCGTAGTCGCCTCCGTTGACCCTGAGGGCAAGTTCATCGTCCTCGAGAACACATCGTCAGGAACATCACGCAGGGTAAATACAAACTTTCTGTGTTCCAACTAACTGTCTCCTATAAATTTGCTATTATTTCAGATGTCATGATTTTGGAGTCGATAAATTTGAAAAAGAAGTGAATGTTTCATACCAGATTTTACCAATGCAAAAAAGGACGTATAAAGAGATTTTGAGTACATATCAATGTTTCATTTAAAAAAAGTACTAATACAGAAGATATGCCAAGACTTGTTGCACATGTTCATAAAAATGCATTGTGGAAATAAAGGGTATATGATATTCTGATGTCGCCAGTAAGCATCCTAGCCCATTTGTAATATGGGTTACCTTTAACTGTCAAAACAGAAATGAATACCTTTGGATGCATTTTTATGAAGCAAAATACCAAAATGTTTTGGGTTTTTTTTCAGGATGTCGATCTCGACAGCTACAGACATGAGAGGGACTTGGACTCCAAGAGAAAACTGTCATACACCTTCAGAAACTATTCACTGAAGGCCGGGAAACAGGTCAAGGTGAGGGACGCGTTGGTAACGTCTGTTGCTGTTGGCAACGTCCACTGTGTGGTTAAAAAAGGTCCTCTTTCTGCTCTCTGGAACCATATGGAATAGGACCCGTATGTAGGTCACGGCACTTCGCGAGACATTGGTACTTCCGGTGGCAAACGTTTCATTCCCTCTCGAGTGGTCTCATGGTTATCAGTTTTAATTTTAAAGGAACTGATAATCCTTGCAGGATTAACAAATGTCCGATCTAACCATCCCCAAATTAGCCAACCATGACGACTGTCAACAGCTGTGACAGCCAAGGACTTGGTCCGTTCTAGTAAAATCATATTTGGCTGTCGCGCAATTTGGAATTAAAACTGGTTCTTGAATATACGCTTGACACCGGAAATCTGGTACCGAAAGTAAGCTGGGCCCAGTCTCGCATGTCGCAAGTTGGCGCGCGTAAAGGTAGCCGGCAACCAGCTTAGTACCGGAAGTACCGCCTCGCGAGACTTACAAGCCCTATTTGTCAGCGTGACGTGCCGGGAATGAAGATTTTTTTTCTTATCCGTAGCTTTACACTGCCTGGTAATCCATATTATTTTTGGATACCTTATCCTGCTATTTTTGTTGTTATTATTATTACCAATATAGCTGCTTTCCTCAAAAGAATCGCAAATATTGTACGTTCATAGAGAAAACATTAGTTTTACTGAGATTTATACTGTGCAATGAATTTACCTTCAATTTTAATGAATATTAAAAAGAGAGCGATCTATTCATGACCAAACATTTATGACCTAATTGCAACTATTTACGTTGTTACCATGCCAACATGTTATGTAACCAGTATATATTTAACAGTGCTACGTTTTTTTCCAGATTTGGGCCAAAGGATCCTCGACGAGTGCCGGCTTGAATGACCTGGTGTTCCACGACGCCGACTCCAGGGGAACCGGCTCCAACATCACCACCACCCTCCTCAATAACAAGAACGAGGTACGTTGACAGTATGAACGACATACGATAATTTGGTAATGAGATAACTCATTGACGCTGCTTACACCTTCAGTAAAGCATCCTTGCTTGAAAGGTGAAGGACACATCGCAAATACTTCGAGTTATCCTAAGTTTGACACATCCGGTAAAAGTCTAAATGAGGAATTGCTTTTCACTTCGACACAACCGTAGGTTCGACACATCAAAGTTCGACACAACGGTGTTTTGTAAATTATATTAACTCTATATCATACACATATATATAGGGACATTATCAACCACAATGGGAACCTTTTTGCTATTTCCTCGTTACCCCTTAGTCAATGTCGAAACTTATGTTCATTCCGCCCTTTGAAATTCTCTCCAATGCATTTTTTGTAGGAGAAGGCCTGCCACATCCAGAAGACCAACTACTCCTAAACGTCCCCAAGCACTGCCATGTCACGCCACCAGAGGGCGCACCGGTCTAATCTGTGGGCGTCGACAGCCCAAGCCACCTATCCGCTGTTTATATTGACTTAGAATATAGCTAAAGATTTCAATTGTTTCAGTCCAGATTTAAAAAAAAATGTATGTTAATGTTGCAGGGGTGAGTCAATAATGACAAGCTGCGGGTGTGTTTGTGAGGTGACGTTTATTTCATCATCATCATATATTGATCAACTATTCAATTGATCAGTCATTCAATTGATCAGTCATTCACCCTGTAATATAAGAAAGAATGCTATACATAAATCTAAACATGCAACAAGTACAGTTACACATAACTAGTTCATAATAAGTCATTATAATTACCACTAATGTATAAAACACTACACAATGGTTGTAATTTAACTTGCAAATGATCAACTTAAATGATCATAGAGGTGATATTTAAATCACACATAGATAATTACATACATGATAAAAGATAATATGTACATACCCTGTGGGTGACACCGGGGTGTGCCTATATACCCACACAAGTATTCTGTGTTAATGCATTCCTAAAACAAATAATAAGTACAATATTTTACTATGCCTACAATTAATAATGTAGAAAGAAACTTCTTGTTCAACCTTACATTCAAACTACCAATCAAATCATGCTCTCACACATTCATACATTTACACACTTCATATTGATAAATTAAAAGGTACATTGGCTACTTTATATAAAATAGTAATATTTACAACACTTTATATTATTTATAACATATTTAATGGATAGTTGAGATTCTATTTAGGTTAATATAAAGTAAATGTCTAACCTGAGCTGTGCTGAGTTGCTTGTCCTGTGCAGAGTTGTTAGCAGTGTGACTAAAAAGTGTGCAAGTGCTATGGAGCAAAGCTGTTGTTACATAATGTTAATCAAATAGGAAGCTGAGGGCTATTGTATTGAAAGCTAGACTGTTGAGGCCCTAAACAGACCAACTGCTTGGATAAGTAACCCTAGCATATAAACTAATGAACACAAAAACAACTTGAAGTCATAAATATAAAACTTTATTGCTAAAACTATAAACACAATCTCCTGTTACATTAAGATCACATTTTTGAGCATCATTGTGGACGTATTTAAGTTTCATGCTTGTATATCAACCATATTTGTGACAATACTCTCTTGAACAATTTTTATGTTGATTAGTTTAAAAAAAAATGTTTTTCTGAAGTTTAGAAAAGCGTATGAAAATAATCTAACAGCGCTTGTGTTTACATCTTTCAGTTCAAGACTTTATGTGGTGCTACTGTATCGATTGGATGGTTATATTCTGGTTGTGAAACTGACCATTCACACAATGTACCCTTGTACATCAATGGATTCAAATTCTTTGTTTAAAAAGGGTAGATAACTCTGCTTTCATTGTATCTCAGGCCTGTCTTGGTGTATCAGGTCTGTTTGTAATATATTAAAGATCACATATACTCTAGGGGGGTACAAATACATAAATCACTAACTGGCATCGCTATAAATGAAACTCCGTCATTAAAACTACTCACTTCGGTCTTTAATTAACTTAAATCGACCTTTTTGACAACACTGCACAATTCTCACCCGCGAACGAAATTTCAACCATTCAGAGCGGGGCGTCTCTGTGACGTCATATGAGGAATATATATGAGGGCCCATTCATGTACATTTCCGATGGGAAATTATCTTGTTTACAGGTTTGTATAAACCTGAAATCGTGACAACTGTTGTGGAAAATGAAAGCTATATCTTCTCACAATCTACTGTCATTTAATGTGTCTGCTGCTTTGCCTAGTTTCCGAGTTACAACTTGTTTTCATAGACGATTCTGTCAAAATCGCTTGGTGTCGTTAGGCCTTATTTGTATAATGACTGATCCAAATTGATCCTATTTCTGTGGTTTTTTACCTCGATATTTAATCATGTCATGTAAAAATCTGTTTGTATTCTCAAAACAGTGTCGGCCCATAAGTTTTCACATGCAATACAGCAATTAATACTCCCTTGTTGTAACCGGTGTTAGGTGGTATAAACCTACACATGTTATTTGTCATCATTCACTTGATGGTCAGTTAATGAATTTATAACAGGTACAATTAGTGGTAACACACTTAGATTACCCGACAAAGGTTCCCATTTGGCATTTCTTGTGTCTGGAGTAAATATTCAACATTATAAACATCGATCAAAGGATTAACCGATAACACGCTGATTGATTAATTACTTTTATCTTACACAGCGGATTTGTCCAAAGGTAGTGTTTTACTAATCTATACTGAATACACTCTGTCGTGTCTGCGTAAAAACAACGTCCTTCTTTCAAAGGATTAACCGGCAATACATTGACTGATTGCCCATTATTGGCTAACTAAATTACTGTTTTTAAAGAAAGGCGGACATTATGCAATTTGTTGCCAGGTGTGCTATCTTGGGTGACCAATGAGACTATACACCAATGTGAATTACCTGAAAAGATTTATCACTTTTTCGTATATTAAACTGTTAAAAGACACATCACTTGAAACAGCTGCAGATGAATGGCATATCACTCGTTTTTGTGGATATTGATGGATACATTCCTCGAACAAGGTAATAGCCTGACATTGTTCCTATAACTTTAATCTGTTTTAATTTTAATATTTGCATTTTGTTTTTATTCATTTGTCGTAACATTCAACAGAATCATTGTTTTTGCCGTGAAATGTAATGAGACAAACAACATACACTAGGGTGTGTGTGCGAATTATGATTCACATTGGCAAACTATAAAATGTCTAGATATTACAGTTCTGTTATAAATTCACTATAAGTATCAGCAGATCGTTTGCTTTTTATTTAGTTTCAAAATGCATACAAGTATGATAATAAACTAATTAGGATTATAAGACCAAACATAAAGACGTACATTGACTAGTATCTACATACTGGTGAGTGCACGTTAACCACGTGAATGTAGCAAGAAATTTATCGCGCAGTATTGTCACTTCGACCCTCACCTCGCTTCCGTGGAAGAAATCCTTATGTTATAAGTTGTGTCATGCAAAATCCTTTTGGTTATGATTCCAATACATATTTAACTACGAGTAGAAAGTAGTTTTGATTTTCTAACTTGATGAAAACAAACCATAATCTCATTAATTTTAACAGACTTTAGCCCGTCACTTTACGATTTTCAAAAATGGCGGCGCCCTGTCGCGAATATCCGCCAGTCTGAGGATAAATGCTATTTAGGTTAGTTTTCACGGAGTTACAAAATCAAAACTACTTTCTACTGGTAGTAAAATATGTATTTGATTGATGGCCAATAGGATTTTGCATGACATAGCTTATAACATAACAATTTCTCTCGTGGCAGCGAGGTGGGTGTCAATATAATACTACTGTTGTGAAAGCCTAGTGATAGGGAAAGGCGCTTACCTTGCTTAGTAAGCGTAGATGATGGGGAGATCAAGGGTTCTGTAGTATACTGTGATTATCGTCCGTTCGGTTCTGTGTCTCGTCTTGATCTGTCAGCTGTCACCTGTCAGATTTGGCGGGTAAGTTGATCACGTGCCCCTATCACACCCAGAAACATGCGAGTATCACTGGATGGCCAATCCGATGAAACCTGATGTACGAGTGCGGAAGCACTGATCACTACATTCCTCCCTCTTTTCTGGACTTGCATCCCCACTTGGAATCCAGTGAGTCTGTCTGGCTTAGGGAGCATCCAACAGGTGACCTCATCAGGACATGAGAAAATCCCTGCAGGGTTGGGCAGCAGTATTGTGCTATCAACCGAGACAGTTCACGTAACTCATGGTTATTTTAGAGTACACATCTAAATAAGAAAATCCCCAACCAGGTTGTTTGGTGGCAACCGAGTCGGTTCACATAACTTATTAGATGAATTAATTAGTCTATTAGTCCTAGAATCTAAACCGGATCGATGGACTCATTTTCAGTCCTGATCAAGTCAGATAAAAATGGACTTTTTATGGGTGCCCTAGAATCTAGACCGGGTCGGTGGACTCAGTTCCAGTCCTGACCAAGTCAGATTAGGGAATCCCATGTCATAGAGTGTTCTTTCATACCCTGTAGAGCTGCCTAGCATTGATGTAGGCGCGCTCTAGGATATTGGCCATAGAACTCTGTCGAGCCTCAGCCACCAGAGTTGCCACATCACCGAGTAATCTTGGGCTGTTAATCCCTCGGTGACCTGGGCGAGGCCATAGGTAGGGGGCATCCGTTTCCAGCACAAACCGTTTCACATTCAGGAACCGCGCGCAGGGCTGAGAGCTGATGTTCGTCAAAGCTGGCGACCATTCCAGTATATCCAAACCAGGTCTCCGGGAAGTTCTTGGTCCAAAGGGCCATTTCTTTACAGGATCCAGAAAAGCAGTGCAGATGAAACTTCTGGTTCGGTTGGATTCCTGCTGCATGGGCGATATTAATGCATTCCTCCAGTGGGGCCCTTTGATACCGGTCTTTGGCGGTTCCACGGAGGTGAAGGATGATTGGTTTGTTGATGTCCGCCATCTTGAAGAGTTTTTCCAACACTTTGCCCTGCTGTTCCCAATTCCCTGCTGTGAAGTCAAGGCCAACTTCTCCCAGGGCGATGACGTCCGGTGAGGACAGCAGACTCTTGAGCTTGATTAGCTGATTAGAGCGATAGGAGCTCACATGTTTTGGATGTAGTCCAACGGCGATTTTCCAACATGGATGAAAGGTTGGATCTTGGGGCCAAGTTGGAGGATCACAAAAAACTTGAACGGCTCTGACGAGATCAAAGGAGGATTCATCTAGTGGTTGACCTGCTTGATTGAGGACTTCATCCAGGGGCGTGGCAGCGTCCAGGTGGAGCCTGCTGCGCATTCTGTCTGAATGGAAGTGGGTGTCAAAGCCCCTGGGAAGTCCCTCCAGAGTTGGTGGCTTGTGCCGTTGTTGTACGGATGGTGAAGGTGGAGGTGTCCGCATCTCCGATGGCTCTGACGATTGTGTGGCTTGCACAACCGGAGATGGACTGGCCAGTGGCAGGATGGTTCCCAGGTTGTGGAAGTGGATCCTGACCATTTCAGATGTTACGTTTAACAGTGACGCCAAAACCCTCCAGTGAATCAGGCAAGCCGGTCTCTCCAAAGACAGGTTGGTGGCGTTTAGGGGTAAGGGCCAACCTTTCATCTGGCACAGCTGGGAAATGTGCCCTTGGCAGCTTCCTCTGAGAGGTATGTCCTTGGGAACAAGGCTATTCCTTAGGACGAACTGATGCAATTCCGTCCAGGTAGCTCCTGCTCCCAAGATCTGCCGAGCCAGGTCTTCTATGGCTGTTACCATGTGGGAAGTTGTTTCCGCCGAGGCCTTTACCGAGTCCCGAAGACAGTGGGGGAGATGAGCTCTATGGACATGATGGCGCAATGTTCTTGTTCACATGCCGCAAGAATTGATGGGGCAAATGGATCCTAAGCCATGAGGATGGTTGCTGTGAAATCGAGCTCCCTTATTCGTTATCGACACATTCATCCCTTGGCTATTGGTCTTGATCAACCTGGCGGAAGAGGATGGTTCGGGCCGCTGTTGCTCCTGTCTCGGTGAGGGACGATGTTCCTGCCTTCTGAGGATCTGTTTCCTCGGAGAGGAACGTCTCTCTCGTCTCAACAACTTCCTATCTGGCGAATGATGTTTTTCTTGCCTTCTAGGTGAGGAACATCTCTCCCGTCTTGAGAGCCCTCTCACTGGCGAATGTTGATGCTTTTGCCAAGACGAGTTATAGTACACAGCCGTCTGTCTGAGCGGAGATCGTCGGCTTGAGGTCTCGGCCGGCCTTCTGGAAGGTAGACGTTCTTGAGGTCTATCCCACCGGTTTACTGGGAGATAAACCACCGAGGCCACTCGTCTATGGTCAGGACTCGGACAATGCCGTTTCTGTGGTGATGAAACCTGAGGCTGGTGACTCCGCTTTAGTGAGGGAGAGTGTGCAGGTGTATGGGGCCTGTGGGTCAAGGATCTTGCCTCACGCCCATGAGCATGGTCCACTCCTGATGTTCGATGCCCAGGAGAAGAAGGGGTGGTTCCCCTGCTTGACAGGGACTCCGGGGATTCTGATTGTCCATCCCCAGTCCAGTAAGAGGTGGACAGCTCTCGACTCCTGGCACTGTGACGTTCTACAGATCTTGTACGTCGTTGGAATACCATGTTTCTGGAAAAATAGCAATTTTCTACTTTTAAGGTGAATTGTCCCTTCCTGTTTGGCAGTGAGGACAGATGTATTTATCCAGAGTCTGAGCTATTTTCCTGGTGATTCCTACACATGCTCCGTGAAACCATTGGTCACACTGGTCACAGCCTATCATCAACTTTCCATCATCTGGCTTGTTACAGATACAATAATTAGTTTGATTGTTGAAGAGCCAATCCAAGTTAAGATCCTCTTGGGCCTCTATAGAACTCCTGGTTTTAGAAAACCTTTGGATCCAACTTGGAATTACACGATCTCGACAAGGCTTGAGGCGGTCATGATGATGTACTGATGTTGTCTTCCTTGTCCGGACATCATACAATGTATTGGAAATCTTATTAGTTATTATTCCTGGTCCTTTCCAGGATGGAGACAACTTCTTACACTTCCCCACAGTGGAGGCAGTGTCCAGTATATACACCATTTCCCCCTCTTCAAACTTCCGGGACAGAATCCTCAAATCATAATCCCTCTTCATCTGGCACTGAGTAGTTTGTAATTTTTTACGGGCCAACTCATGTACCTCACCAAGTGCTGAGGCAAGCTGACTTACATACGTGTCGGGGTCCAAAGATGGAGATTCCTCCCGTGTGGCACTGAAGACTAGCTCTGCAGGTTGATTGATTTCCCTACCTAGCATCAGCATATTGGCGGTATATCCCGTTTGTCGATTTACTGCAGATCTCAATGCTCCTGCCAGTTGTGGCAGAAATTCGTCCCACCTTGTCTGGTTTGCATCAATGTGGCAACGAATGGTTTGCAAGAGAGTGCGATTAAATCGCTCTACTTGTCCATTTGCAGAGGGTCGATATGGGGTTGTCCTGGTTTTGTGTATCTGAAGTACTGTGCAAAGCTCAGTGAACAATTTGCTCTCAAAATTCCTTCCTTGATCCGTAAATACTTGGAAAGGACATCCAAATCGGGAGAAAAAAACGTCTACGGCAGCTTTGGCTGTCACCTCCGCCGTTTGGGTAGGCAAAGCTATGCACTCCACCCATTTGGTGAACTGATCAACCATCATCAAGATGTATTGGTTACCCAAATTGCTCTTGGGCAAGGGACCAATGAAATCAAGATGAATTCTTTCCATGGGTGCCCCTGCATGAAAGTTGATCATTGGTGACCGGGCATGTCGTACAGGTCCTTTGTTTCGGCTACATGCTGAACAGGTGCCTATGTACGATTTGATATCCGGTACCATGCCATGCCAGTAGAACCTGGTTTTGACTCTGTAGATAGTTTTCTCCATTCCAAGATGTCCTGCAGCCGCTATATCATGGTTTAACCTTAGCACTTCTTGCTGTAATGATTTCGGGACCACCAGGGATGCCATGCCTCGTGTTGTCTTTTCTTTTATGAGAGGGATCAACACGTAACAATCCCTGACTGTCAATCCGAAATAAATTTCGGTTCAGCCAATAGTGTTTCGCTGCAGGACTGGTCAGAAAGAGACTTGATTCACTAGGCTCCTTAGCAGTTTGAATCCAATCCATTATAATTGCCAGGTCAGGATCAGATTTCTGCTGATTGATGATCTCCTGAGTAGAGTACCCAAATTGTTCTTCCTGCCCGTCGTCGGTTCCTACAAGTCTTACTGCCACTGGGGTGGTGTTCAATAAGAACCCCGACTCCCCATTGGATTGTATTTCCATACAGGAGACCGGCAGGCCGCAATCATCTGGTGAGTCATCATCAGAGAGGCAATCCTGCCCAACATGGGCCAGAGGTATGGTATCATCTACATCCTCGAAAAACCTGTTCCAATTTTCATGAGCTCGAGTGCAATATTTGCATCCTCCACAAGGTAAATTTTCCAACATTATTCCTGGTTTATAATTGTGGCATTTATCCTCTTGTGGAATTCGTGAGAAACCATCAGCATTGGCATGCAGTTTTCCTGGACGGTGCTTCACTACCATGTCATATTGGCTCAATTCTTCCAGCCACCTAGCCAATTGGCCATTTGGATTCCGAAAGTTTAGTAGCCATTGGAGACTGCTGTGATCAGTCCTAACAGTGAAACGTCGCCCCAGCAGATAGTGTCGAAACTGTCTTGTAAATCTAATAACTGCCAATAGCTCTTTTCTGGTTGTACAATATCTCTTTTGTTCGGCAGTCAGACTAAAACTGCCAAAACAAACACCTCGCTCTTCACCATTTTGAATTTGGATCAGCTCTGCACCGATTGCTTCATTGGAGGCATCTGTATCTAGGATGAAGGGGTCCTCCTTGGTAGGTAATGCCAACACAGGTGTATGGGTAAGAGCATGCCGCAAGGACGAGAAAGATTGCTCCTGCTCATCATTCCATTGGAATGCCTTCTTACCCGTGATTTGATACAATGGGACTGCCATTGAGGCGTAGTCCTTGATAAACATTCTGTGATGATTGGCAAAACCAAGGAACCTTTCAACATCCTTTGTACAAGTAGGGCGAGACCAGGTTAACACTGCTTTAAGGCCCTCGTTGTTAGCCTCCAGCCCATTCTGGCTAACCACACGACCAAGAAATCTCTACCCTCTGCTGAAACAGTTCACATTTCCGTGGTTTCAGCTTGAGCTGGTAAGTTCGAACCTCTCAAATACAGATCGAAGATTAGTCAAATGGTCTTCGACATCAGTGCCCATCACCAGAATGTCATCCAGGAAAGCCAGAGCAATATCCCAGGTCAATCCTCTCAATACAAGATTCATTACTCGTGAATATGTTGCTGGAGCATTACAGAGGCCAAATCCCATCCGAACATGTTCAAAAAGACCATACTTGGTGATGAAAGCTGTTTTCGCACGATCCATTGGTGATATTTTGACTTCCTAATAAGCTGAGTTTGCATCCAGCTTCGAGTACCAGACGTTACCCGCGAGTGTGTCCAGACAATCTTCTATCAGCGGCAGCGGAAATACATCCTTTTTCGTGACTCCGTTCAGACCGAAAATCTAGATTAGACCAACGTACTGTATTATCAAGCTTGCGTATTAATACAGGGGTGCAGCCCACTCTGATACAGAAGGTTGGATGACTCCAGCATCTAACATTTTCTTAAGATGTGACTCCTCCTCCTTTCAAATCCAAGTGGTGTCCTTCGCATGAGCTGTTTAATTGGTTTGGCATTCCCGGTGTCGATGGAATGTTCAAGCGCTGTAAAGTTTCCCAGATCCAAGTCATCTTTTGCAAATACATCCTGATAGTCTGTAAGTAATTGTGCCAATTGCTGAACTTCCTGACCTTGAAGTAATTCAGATGATCTTTGAAACAGACTTCTCAGATGAGCAGGGATGTTGGGTTGACTATTTGTTTTGACAGCCGCCAATTGCTCAAAGGGTGATTCGACATGATCTATTTCCATGGCAACCCCTAAGACTTGACTAGGCTGTAACACCACTTGATGATCCGAAGGATTAACCAGACACACAATGGGGGTACTTCCTCCATTTTGGTACGTCCTGGGCATCAGTAGATCAGATTTTGTTAGGCGTGGCTCAATGATGAAATCTGTGAGTTGCTTTGATATAGGACATTCAAGTTGTCGTGCGAATTGGGTGGAATAACGGTTTTCTTTGATACCGAGATCCTTGATACTTGTGGTGGTACCTTTTGAGAACGGCATAGAGTCATTTCAATGATATCTGATCCAATCTGCAGTACTTGTTGAGTCAAGTCCAGATGAGCCCCTGGGGAACTAAGAAGTCCAGTCCCAGAAGAACATCATCTTGAATGGGACCCACTACCACAGGAATCGAATAGGTTTCAGACCCTAGTTGCAACTGGAGTGGTTCTGTCACAAAGGAAGACATATGTAAGTCTCTCCCAGCAGTTCTCAACTTAATGTCCTGTTTTTTCTCAGGTTTCCATGAGAGTTTCTTATAAAAAGTGTCTGATATTATGGTAACCTCAGCCGCGGTATCCACCACTGCAGTAGTATGCTGGTCCTGGATTCGGACTGGTACCAAAAACATAGATCCACTTTTTAATTGCCTAACTGTGATCTCTGGAATTGATGAACTATCTTCTTTCGAGGAACTAGTTGACTCAGGAGCAATAGACGAATTGCAGGAGGTCATTGAAGGCATGTCATGTCCAGTGGGTTCTAACAATGGCA